CTTTCTTCCATATCAGCTGCTCAATCACTGTCTATATACCTAACTAATTCCATTTTGTTAGTGGTTGAATAGAGAATGTCATCACCAAGCGTCTTTTTAATATATCTCAATATTCTTTTTGCAGCTTGCTAATGAGATTGTCTCGGTAATTTCATAAATTTGCTTACAATACCAACTCTATAAACAATATCAGGTCTAGTTGCTGTTAAGTACCTCAAGCTTCCAATAAGTCTCCTGAAATTTGCTGCATCAACCAAATTACCGCTTCCGTCTTTTATAAGCTTTAACCTTTCTTCTACTGGTGTTAGTATTGGTTTGCAAGCTTCCATCTTAAATTTCTTCAAGATATCTCTTGCATATTTCTTTTGAGAAATGAATATACCTTTATCTATTTGATTGACCTCAATACTAAGAAAGTAAGACATTAACCCCATATCTATCATATTAATGTGGGCAATCATATCTTCCATGAATTTGGACAGAAGTCTTGAATTATTGACGACGAAGATTAAATCATCCACATAAAGGCAAACAACAATAATATCTCCATTCTTGTTTATCATGATATATAGAGTGTGTTCGTATGAACACTTTTGAAAACCATGAGAAAAAAACTAAGTGTCAATACGAGTGTACTATGCCTTTGGCGCTTGGTTAAACCCGTATAAAGCATTTTTCAACCAATAAACTTTATCTTCTTCACCTTTCTTTTCATAACCAAGTGGTTGTTCAACGTACACTTCTTCTTCGACTACACCATTTAGAAATACTAATTTCACATCCATTTGATATATTTTTCAGCAATTTTGGGCAGTAAGTGAAATAATCATACGCATATTATCCAATTTAGCAACAGGCGCAAATACTTCAAAGTAATCAATACTTGACTTTTGCTTATATCCTTTTATAATTAGTTTTACTTTAAACTGTTCTACTTCTTCGTTAGGCTTCTAGTTTATTTTGTATACCCATTTGACTCCAATTGGCTTCTTCCCTTTCAGTAGAGCAGTTAATTCCCATGTACTATTTATTTCAATGGAAAAAATTTCTTCATCCATTGCTTTAATTCATTGATCATCATTAGACACTTCTTCAAATACTATTGGATCATAATATGCAAACAAAATAATGAACAACATCTCCATCATCATTACTAACTTCATAATCCTTTAAATAGGTAGCTGGATGACGATCTCATTGTGAACATCTTAGTGTAAGAGGAGATGAAGCTTTCGGAATGACACCAAATGATTCTTCAAAAATTGAAGGACAAGACTGCTCACTAATGTGATTACTTGTTTCTATTTCATTGTTTATAAACACTAGAACTGGTAGTGATCTCTTTTCTTCTTCGAACCATTCTCATTCTCTATCTTTATTAAAAGTAATATCACAGCTAATGATTACCTTTTTGTTCTTTGGGTTGTACAACTTGTAACCCTTTGCTTCCATACTATAACCAATGAAGATGCATTTGTCTGCTTTATCATCAATTTTCTTCCTTAACTCATCTGGTACATGTGAATAAGAGATATAACTAAAAACCCTCATATGGCTTAAATTAGGCTTTCGTCTACTTTATACTTCTTGTGGTGTTTTATCATGAACACTTTTAACATGACATATATTCAAAATATAAACCGCACAAGCAACAACTTCTACCTAAAAACTCTTAGATAACTTTTTATAATGCATCATGTTTTTTACCATGTCTATAATAGTTCTATTTTTTCTTTCTACCACTCCGTTTTGTTGAGGAGTATACCAAACCGTTAACTGGTGTTTAATTTCTTTTTTTTTTTAAGAAATCATTACAAATAATATATTATGTGCCTTTATCAGTTCTTAAAGTTTTGAGAGAGTAACCACTTTATCTTTTAATATATGCCACAAAATTCTTAACTATTCTACATGCATTCGATTTATGCTTAAAAAATATACCCATGTTTTTCTACTAAAATCATTAATGAAAGTAACAAAATACTTGTTACCTCCATTAAAAGGAATGTCCATGTAGCATAAGTTTGAATGTACAAGCTCAAGTGAGCTTTTGGCTCTCCATTCCTGTTTTGTGGGGAATGGATCTCTGTGCTTCTTCTCTAAGATACATGCTTGCAAAGTTGATCAGGAACTTGAATAGTTGGTAAGTTTGAAACCCACTCTTTATTTGGAAGAAATTTGATGCTCCTAAAATTCAAGTGCCTAAGCCACATATGCTATAGCCAATTATCATCGACAATCACATAATTACGGTGAGAGGCATTACCATAATTGATATGCATTAGAAATAAATAGTTGTATGACATCTTTGTCTTCAGGATCATTCATTTTTTTGTGTCACTTATAGTGCACCCGTGTTTATTGAAACACAAATTATAACCCTTTTCAACTAGTTGTTCCATGCTTAACATCTTTTCGTAGATAGTAGGAACATAATAAACTTCAGAAATATAATTTGCAAACCAATTGTTTAATTTAATGACAATTCTTCATTTTTCTAAAATTGGGACTTCATAGTTGCCGCATAGTTTTACCGAAGAACGAAACGATTCATCTAACTCAGAGAATATTTTCTTATTTCCACTTAGATAATTGCTACAACCTGAGTCTAATAACCACTGACTATTGTTACTTCCATTACTGTCATGAGCTGCCATCAATAAAGTCTCTACATTATCATTTTGGGCTACCTCGACCTGATTTTCTCTATGTTCTAATCTCTTTGCGCAACACTCTACTATAATGACAATATCTTTTATAATTATGACACTGAATATGTGATTTATACTCTGATTGATAGTGACTATATTGTTTGCATTTATGACATTAGATGCGAGACTTACCTTGAGAAGATTCATTTTCTGTTGCACCTTATCTTGAAATCGTTATGAAATTTTCTCATCTTCTGCCTCTGAGATTTGAACATCTTTGACTATGTTGTGATCTAGGCGTCTCATTCTTTAAATCTAATTTAGCCTTTAAAGCTTGTTCTATTGTGCTTGGAGAACTTTCATTCATCCACAGCTCCTGTAACTTTAATGACAGTTGTAAATCATTAAGGGTTATGGTGTCCAAGTTTTTGGACTCTTCAATGGCTGTCACCACATAGTCAAATTGACTTAACAATCTACGTAAAATTTTCTCCATGACATCTCTCTCATTTATTTGATCTGTATTAGTTTTCATCTCATTTATTAACTTCTCCATTCGTGAAAATAATCACGAACACTTTTGTCTTTACGTTGCAGCTTGAACTGTCTTTTTAATCATTGCAGTCATGTTCGTTTGATTAGATATGCACCTTCATATGTTTTGAGTAAAATATTCCAAGGCTCTTTTGCTGTTTTGACATGAAATATTTTTTTCTAGCACCGGTAGGTCCATAGATTGACAAATTAAAAATAAAGACTTATCATTTAACGAATGATCACGAACCAAGTCTTATAAACCTGCTGTTGACGACTTTTCCTTTTCAGCAAAACCATTATCTAAAATTTCGCCATAACCATTGTTTCTCAAACATAGCTCCATTAAGTGCTTCCATTTTGCAAAATTATTTTTGATATCAAACTTAAAAATTGATGACTGCACTTGTTGAATTTAGACTCTTGTTATTGAACTAGAAGTCATATTGATCAAACTTTACGCTCTGGTACTTGATGTTGACAATTTAATTTTGTTGTAATTGTTTAGAGAATAAATTTATAAACTACCAAACTCGTTATGAATTAGCTTGTTGAAATTAATAATTCTCATTTAATTTTTTTTTATCTCATGTCCTAGATATTTTTATTTTTATTTTTCTCTTTTACCTAAAGCTATTTATATAAGTAGACATGTTACTATTTTTTCTTCAATTCTTTATTGTTGCTCGTTTATATTTTCTATATTTATTGTTGCTGTTATTGTATTTCTCATTTTTATTGTTGTTATTTCTCTCTTTATTACTGTCGTTTTACCTTCATCTCTTTATTGTTTAATTAATTAAAATTTTAATTTTTAACATTAATTAAATCGAGTTTTATTATCTAACAATAAAAAAACAATTAATCTTATAATAAAGTGTAATGAATAATGCTTCGTCTAAGTAATATGGAAGCCTAGATCCATGCAGAAAGGTTAAATGTTGTCATATAAAAATAAGAGAAGGATTACAAGAGTATGCCTAATTCCTTGTAAAAGAATTCAATTCAGACAATCTCCTTTACTTTGTTTGTCATGTCTATATCCGTTTGAATATTTGAAAGGTGTGAACACGATTATTTTTAGCTCTAAACCTTATGACTCTTTCAAAATAAAAGAAAAAAATGTCAAAAAAAAAAAAAAAAAACCTTGTTAGGATTTTGAGTTTTAATTTGTTAAAAAAGAATACCCTTTCTATCTTAGAATGCAAAATTAGAGTTGGAAAAAGGAAAAAGAAAATAATAATTAAAAAAAATAAAGAAGAAAAGAAATAAAAGTTGAATCAATTTTACAAATTTCTAAAGTTTAATTAGCTTAAATCATTCATCATATGAAACATATCCCCTTGGTTTAAGCGTCAATATGAGAAAACTAGAAACCCGCATCACTTGCCGGCCACATGCCCGCTTTTATGACTTTACAACGAAATTAAATACCATTCATTATACATCAACAATCACATAATTATTCAAATATATTTTATATTTATATTAATGTACAGAAATTTTTAAGTGATCACTTAAATTTAAAAAAAATAATAATAATAAATTATTACTCTTATTTATATAAAATAAATTTAATTAATCAATCTTAATTCACTAGTTAATTTTTTCCTGAGTTTAATTCTAAACTTAAATTCCAGCTTGTATGACAACTCAATTAAATAGGAAAATACTAATTCCACTAATATTAAAAGAAATCATTTATGGAGCTAAAAATAGAAAAATACAATGTTGCAGATTACGATGAAAATGCACATGGCAACTAGCTTCCACCACCCTTTGACTTCAAACCCAAAAATATTAAACACAAGCAGATCAATAGGAACTACGAGCCACCACCGCGTATCCGCCGTCAACCGCCAAGTTATGGCCGCTGATATAAGCCGATTCATCAGAAGCAAGAAATAAAGCAGCCTCTGCTACATGCCTTGCCTTCAACACTACCCCCTTCAAGTTCGCCAACCCACAACTATTCTCTTCCACTTCGTTAGGTCTCAGATTATAAGCTGTACAAGCCAGAGGTGTAGCAACCCCAAACGGCGACACGCTGTTGACTCTGATCCCATATTCCCCCAGCTCGCTACACGCTGACCGAACCAGACCCACCAGCGCATGCTTGGACGTCGTGTAAGCACTCGGTCCAGTCCCTCCCAACAATGACGCAACGCTCGTTGTGCATATAATTGACCCACGTATGTTTCTGGCCACCATGGCTCGAGCTGCGTGCTTGATTGTTGCAGCAACACCTCGAACGTTGGTAGCCATGGTGTTATTAAAACCATCTAAGTCGAGTTCTAATATGCTGGTTAAAGGGCCGATGATTCCAGCATTGCTGAACAGAACATCAAGGCTTCCATATTTGTTTATGGTGAAACTCACTGCTTCCTCCACTTGCTTCTCGTCTCTCACGTCGCAGTGAAGATAACTCGCTCTCTCTGTGCCGATTGATTCAACAACTTGAAGACCCATTTCATCTTGGACGTCGGCAACCACGACGCGAGCTCCATTTTCTGTGAATAATCTAGCAGTTTGCTCGCCAATCCCGCTGGCTGCACCAGTCAGGAGCGCCACCTTACCCTCCAACCTGAAAAATTCAGTTACTTATCTATTACTAATTCGTGATTAGTTGAAAAGAATGTGTTTTGGAGATCTGTAATAGACAATTAAAGCAAAGAATTAGATACTCACCTGGGATTAGACATAATTGGCTATGGTTCAATTCTAAATGAGACTCTTGGATCTGCTATACTCGGTATATTTCCTTGTGGGTTCTATCTTATAGGTTTTATTAATTTCCGTAGGCTGCAGTGCTCGAGATTGACTGACCTATAAATAATTCAACGGTAAAAGCAGATATATGAACTAATTACTGTCATTCCAACACTGACGCAATTCTCTGAAGTAACAATTCTGGATAACATCCCATAAAGCTCTCTACTTAGGAATGATGAAAATTAGGGATGGGAATTGGGTGGGTTAGTCATTAATTTGAGGGATAAAAAGTCTAGTCATAGGTAAAAACGTAAAAAATTCAAAGCCATGGTATGTGTATGTAACTAATTAAATTTGAATAATGAATAGTTCAATTAGTTTAATTTGTAATTGAGTCTTAATTTTATGTTAAATTGTATTGTATTTAGTATTTTATAAAATTTTCAAATGGAGCGGATTTTAAGTGGGTAAAAATATTTGTTATCCATCAGAGATATATCCCTAATACAAATAAGAGAAAAAGTATCCACGAATAATGCATTTATCAACCGTTCAGCTCTATAATGAATTTCAAAATTAATATCACATGTTTAATATAATTATTAAGTTTGATAAATTATATATTATTTAAATATAGACCCGTATAATCTCATATTTTAAATTTAGAATCTATTAGCTCATGTTTCGGTTTATTAATCTTTAAGTATCCGTAAATCATATACTAACACAAAATAAAATAAATAATGAATTCAACTTTTACTTTTCAAAAATTACAAATCGTTACAAGAATATGTTGATTGAATTTTAAATGTTCAAGTTCAAATTGCATGTGAGTGGGAAATGACCATTTTCAAGAAACAATATGTTATTATTGTTCTTTTTTTATTTTATTTATAAATATAATATCATTTTTCACTTATATATAAACTTTGGATCTACTAATTTAGGATTTTAGTATACCAATTATACAAGTGAAATTTCTCTTTTTACGAATCTATAAATTCCGAGAAATAATAAATTATAATATCTTTACTTATATTAGGTAAGTAAAATTTGATAGTGTTTTTTTTTTTCACATAAAGAAATGTTGTTTACATTTAAATTTTAGCAGTTGTATTTTCCTCTTCAAATACATAAGTTATATCTATAGACTCAATTATATAATATATATATATATATAAATAAAATCTTTAAACACATCTGTGTTTTCAATGTGAAATGTCCACACACCCCTAGAACTTCCTCTTACGAGTTGTTAAAATATAGTAATGTCTGGCCCAGTCAAACTCAAAAGTCAACGAATTTTACGCAGCAATCCATATCGTATATTGTTTCTGTACCTGCAGGAGATTAATTAGTAGCCACAAAAAATTCAAACTAATATCTAAACATATTTACTAAACATACTACAATTAAAAACTTTTAATATTTAACGCTAAAATATGTTTAAAATTAAAAATTTAGAGAAAAAATTATAATTGCAGCTATAATATATATATATATATATGTGTACTGTTAATTCTACATGTGTAATATATATATATATTATACAATAAATAGTATTTGATTTAATGTATTTCTCTCAAATTGGAATGAATAGTATGCACAACTGGACACAATTTTAATTGTATTCTCAATTCAATGCACCATCATGAATTTGTGTTCAAGTATAAAAAAAAAATTATATAAAGAAATAAATTGATTATAAATTATAATCTTCTTTTTTATGCAAATTTATATAAACTAAAATTAACATAAAAATAATTAGAGATGAAAAATTGACATTATTTCACTGATGGTAAATTCATCCACTTAAATCATAACAGTTCCATTCCAATCTGATAAAAGTCGCCGGCGAAAGTCAAAGCCAACGGGACCTATTTATTGGGCGCTGCAACGTTAATATTAACGGTGACGCCGCCGTCAACAACCAAGTTATGGCCGCTGATGTAAGCGGATTCATCAGAAGCAAGAAACAGAGCTGCATCTGCAATATGCTTCGTCTTCAACACTACGCCTTTCAAGTTGGCGACGGCAGAAATAGACTCCTCTACTTCACTTGCCGCCATATGGAAAGGATTCATCGAAAGAGGGGTCGCGACTCCGAACGGTGAAACCGAGTTGACCCGGATCCCGTAAACCCCTAACTCACTACACGCTGACCGGACCAAACCCAGAAGCGCATGTTTCGACATGGTGTAGGGACATGGTCCGGATCCTCCCACCAAGGACGCCACACTCGTTGTGCAGATGATTGACCCGCGTATGTTTCTGGCCACCATGGCTCGGGCAGCGTGCTTGATTGTCGCAGCAGCGCCGCGAACGTTGATGGCCATGAGGTTGTCTAAGGCGGTGAGGTCGAGTTCTTGGATGCCACCTAAAGGGCCTAAAATCCCGGCGTTGCTGAACATGACGTCCAAGGTTCCGTATTTGTTAACGGTGTAACTCACTGCTTCCTCCACTTGTTTCTCGTCCCTCACATCGCAGTGAAGATAACTCGCTCTGTCTGTGCCGATCGACTCAACAACTCGATGGCCCAACTCGTCTTGAACGTCTGCAACGACCACGCTTGCTCCATTTTCAGCGAATAACCTTGCTGTCTCCTCACCGATTCCGCTGGCTGCACCCGTGATCAGTGCTACCTTACCCTCCAACCTGGCAATTTATAAAAGTTTAGAATTTTATACAAAATAGAATAAACAGAACAGGGTGAAGTATGGCTTAAGAAAATTAATCAAAACACATATATACCTCGGCTTAGACATGGAAGTATTTGGAGGATTCTTGAGTTCGTCTGCTATGCTTTTGAGCAATGTAGTGATCAAAATTATGGGTTTATATTGAGGGTTAGGAGAAGAAAGTTAGTGCCGCCTATTTTGAATAGAATGAATACACAAGGAAAATTATATTGGTTATATATATAATTACGTTAGCATGTATATCAATGTGCAGAGGATGTGTTGCAGTGGTCAAAGTAGCATATCCCGTTGAATTTGCTCAATAAAAATCTGCGTGGATGAAAAATCTCTAAACGGATTTCCTTATTAGGATTCAAAATACATTTACTTTATCTCTTAAAAAAAATTAAAAATTATAATTTATTTTATTTATTAATTTAAATTCAAATAAAATTTAACTTTTAATAAAATTTAATTCATATTTATTTTTTAAATGTCATGTAATTAATAAAAATTTATTTTTTAATAAATTTGATTCATGTTTATTTTTTAAATAGTAATATTTTTTTTAGAAAATTAATTTATATGTAAACTTATTTAAAAATATATTAATTTATTAATTTTGTTGATAAAATTAATAAAAATTTTAGTTTTTTTTACTTAAAACAAAATCATTATTAATGTTAAAATAATAGGACATCCCTCTTAAATAAGTAGTGTAGTGTTGATAGGTTATTTCAGTATACATACTATTTTCTATATAGGTTATTTTTAATATAAATTAAATTTACTTATATAAATAAGAGTGATGTGCTAATCCAAGAACATAATTCAAATTTGAAAATAAAATTTTTATTATTCAAACAATTAACAGAAATATTAGCTATGTACTGTATTTCGTGCTATTAGTCATATAATTTTTACATTTCAGTTATACTTTATTTATTTATTTTTTTTAAAAAATCAAGTTTCCTTTATAAAATGATTGATAGTGGCAAAACGTATAAATAATTTGTTAATTATGGCATGTTGTTGTTTAATTTTCAAAATTGAATTGAATTATCCTTATTTAAATTGCTTATAACATCTTTCCGTCAATAAAAATGTCTAGCTTATTAAGTATAGAAAATAAAGATTAAGAATTCAATAAATGGGTTAAAGAAATAATTAAGATGATACTAAAATTGTTTAATTCAAATGATAAAACACTTTTATTGTGGAGTTAACAATTCAAATTTAAATTCTATCCTCCATCAATCTACAAAAGAAATCTATATGTTGATTATTAAAATTTTCCTTTTGTGAAGAAAATATATCGTTGATCATCAATAATTCTGTAAAAACAAACGAACAAAAATAACTTAAAAAATAATTTAGAGAAAATCTATTAAAAACAAAATTTGGAGATTTCACATCTCAATAATTAAAGCAATATATGTAAAGGCCCTCAAATAGCTAAATAATAATATTGAAATTTATTAGTTTTGTGGAAGTAATTTAGAATTTGAGATTACAGTGCTTGCACAGTTTAATTAGAATGTCCAATAGAGTTATATGAATGTTTCTTGAAAAACATAAAGAAAAAAGTATAATCTGAAAGCCCTGTGTAATCAACTTCTGTTGTGCAATTCTGATAATGGGAGACAACTTTTTTGCTAATTTTCTTACTGTTCAGGATTCGGATCTTGGTCGTCCTGATATAAAATGGTTAATAATAAAGGGTTGAGGTACACTAATTCAATAAGAATATCAACACTTTACCACTGATATAGAAAATCAAAGGTTTGTACAAATCGTAAAACAACTAATGAAGTTTATTTTTTCTTAAGTAAATTCATTTAATTTAAAGACATTTATTTCTTACTTACCTTTAAGTTCCTACATGCTATTTATGAAAGAAAGAACCAGAATAGTAATTCACATCATACATTCTAAAAAACTAATAATAATCAACATTTACCTTTTTACTTACTTACCGGTGCTGCTGGGGGTTCATAGGGGTTCCCACTACACGTGGACTAAGTATCCATTCTATTAATCAACCCGCCGTTTCCGTACCCTGTCCGATAATGGGCACCAAACACACTACCACTTCAATACCTTGTTCGGTAATAAGCATAATCAAACAATTTCCAACTCCATTTCGGTATGGAATCTCTCAGCCTCGTCCAATTAAGGGTAATATTAATGACAATGTTTATCTTATGACTAAGTCTGTACACCATTTTCCATGACATCTGGTAAACCCCTTTAATTTTTAGCACGTTGCATATACATACCAGTCCTTATTACCATTTAGCCACCAAATACATTCAACACTCACATTTCAAAATTACAAGATAATATAATGATCCTTTGATAGGCGATATAAATTAATACTTAATAATTCAAGAAGATGAAATTAAGACATTCGTTTCAAACTAAATTAACGGATAAGGATGAAAACAGTTGAGCAACTAAATAAACAAGAAAAATAATTAAAATTAATAAATTAAAGTACACGAAGTAGCAATAGGAAAATAAAGCAATATAACGAAAAATAGGTAACACATATAAGTTAGAGACAATTATACACTGATCGGTTACTAACTCCTTCTGTGGCCTGTATTTAATTAATCATGGGGTCGCCAACATTTATAATTTTCTATTTATTATTTATTAGACTTTAATTTAATCGTAACAGGAGAAATGATGAGGAATTCTTACCCCGGGTCGGTGTCTGAAATACAGTCTTTTCCACTATGCTTCCTGGCGGTTCCTAGTTCTTAGATTTCTTGAATTTTTATGGAAAAACCAAAATATACGTCAAATATCATGAAAATACGTGAAAAAGAACCAAAATTTTTTTGTGAGCCGGTTTAGGCTTCTGGCACAACGACACTGCCATGCTCCGATGCCAGTTTTGCCACCTACCGCATTCCTCATCGGTTAAGTCAGTTTTGGCCAGTTCTGGGTGAAAACTGATAAAATTCGGGGTTAGGTGGCCCCTGTTGGTGAAAAAAGGAGGAAAATCGCACCTTACCGATGGTTTGGGGTTTCTGGTGCAGCGGCTCCGCTGCTCCTCCCTCGCGGTCGTGGTCCTCATTCGGTTGTCCTGCACCGAAAATATATTAGATAACTTATGGTCAAGAAACGGAAGGAACGAAAAAAGGATTCGGGCTCACCAGAGGGGTTTTTTAGTTTTGGGTGCGGTAGCTTAACCGAGCTCCACCCTCCATTTCTAGATTTTCTTTTGGCTTTTCAGCGTCAATAACGATTTATGGTAGTTTAGAATGGAAAAACGGAATGAACGAAAAAAAGTTTCACTTACCAACGTCGGTTTGGGTCTTTGGTGCGATGGCGATGGTGGCTAGCTTCCTCCCCTCCGACGACTGGTTGGCTTTCTGGCTGCCCTTTTTCTTCTTCTCCAGTGGTCTCGGCAGCTAGGGTTTTGGGAGCCGAGTAGCGAGGTTTAAATACCTTCTCGACTTCGATCTGGGCCGTTTGTGCAAGGACACGTGGAGCAGTAAGGACTGTTCGATCATGCCTACTAGGGAAATTGATCAGGACCATCTGATTGGAGGCACGCAAGCCATCCGATTAAGCCTATTCGGGGAATTAATCTCAACCGTTTATGCGCGTGGGAGAGGCCCTGAGTCGTTTGATTGGCCTGGTACGCGGATCACCCGTGTGGCTTCCCGTGTGAAATCAGGCTAGTGTGTCTGTCATGTGGCTGTATTTTTTTTTTATGATTTGACCCCTATTTTTTATTTTTCTTTCAAATATATCCTCATATTTTTCACAGTTTGGCCCCTTATTTTTAAAACTTATTTCAAACGTGTCCAAAATGCATATAACTCAAAAAAATTAAAATTAAAAATTTCAAAATTATTATTAAGATAATTTTTGTCATCCCGAGCCTAAATCTTAGGTTCGGAGTATCACAACTCTCCCCTCTTAAGAAAATTTGATCCCCAAAATTATTGCCCTCTCACTAGTTGAACAGTTAAGGATATTGGGCCCTGAAGTCTAATTCTAAGTTCCAGGTGGGCTCGTCCTGCAAGTAATTCTAGCATAAGACATTGATAAAGACAAATTTTCTATTGTGAAGCATTCTGCTCTTACGGTCCAAAATACCAACCGGTACCTCATTGTAAGATAAATACTCTTGAAGTGGAAATGGCTTGTAAAATAAGACATGTGAGATGTTCAGGCTATACTTACATAGCATTGACACGTGAAATACGTTATCGACTCTAAATAGTTCTGGACGTAATACTAGCTTGTAGATGGATATCCCAATTATATCCAAAATCTCAAACAGTCCAATGAACCAGGGGTTCAACTTCCCTATGTTTCCAAACCTAGTGATACCCTTAAAGGAGGTGAACTTAAGGAACACTCGATCGCCTTTCTCAAAATCCAAATCTTTCATTCGAGTGTCCGCATAACTTTTATGTCTGCTCTGAGTTGTCTGGATATTTCTTCTGATTTCAACAATCTTCATTGTGGTCTCATCTACAAGATCTAGACCAATCAATTTCCTGTCGTTCACCTATTCCCAACAAATCGACAATTTATAGGGTCGACCATACAATGCCTCGTATAGAGCCATATCAATACTTGGTTGATAACTGTTATTATAAGCGAACTCTACCAGGAGTAGGTGGCCATTCCAGTGCCATCCGAATTCTATAACACAAACCCTGAGCAGATCTTCCAGTGTGCGAATAGTTTGTTCTAATTGTCCATTTTTCTGAGGGTGAAATGTTATGCTAAGAGACAATTTCGTCTCTGTTCCTTGTTGAAAACTTGTCCAAAATCAAGAGGTGAACCTGGAGTTCCTATCTGATACCACTATAATTGGAACTCCATATAGTATGACTATCTCTCAAATATAGATTTTACCTTGTTTGTCCAAGGGGTTAGTCATTCTGATGGTCAGAAAATAAGAGAATTTAGTGAGTCGATCAACAGTCACCCATATCGCGTCATGTCTCAAGCGTGCCATAGGTAACTCTGTTATAAAGTCCATGGTGATATATTCTCATTTCCACTTGAGGATCGGTAATGACTAAAGTAACTCATCTGAACGTTGATGTTCTACCTTGACTTGTTGGCATACAAGACACTTAAAGACGAAATTGACAATCTCTATTTTCATCTCGTTTCATCATAATCGGGGCCACATGTTTTTGATATATCTTAGTACTTC